AACCCCAAAACCCCTATAAACCCTAAACCCTAAACCACCAAAGCCTAACCCCTAAATCCTAAACCCCTAAACCCCTACCTAAACCCTAAACCCTAAGCCCTAAACCCCTGAACCCCAAAACCCCTAAACCCCAAGCCCTGGGCCCTTCAAAGCCTTCAATCCTAAACCCCACACGCTAAAACCTTAAAACCCAGAGGAGAAATACCTGACCAACGAGCTCGCCTCCATTATGGCGGCGCTTCCCGACTTGCGGAACGAGGACGAAGGGACCCTAAACCCTAAACCCTAAACCCTAAACCCTAAACCCTAAACCCTAAACCTTTTTTTTTTGGGTTTAGGGTTTCGGATCTTGGATCTCGGCCTTGACAGGTCTCTAAGTTTCAAGCCTTGGGTATTGAGGCTTTGACATCATCGGATAACTAGAGGTTTAGGGTTTAGGGTTTAGGGTTTAGGGTTTACTATACTATACTATGCTATAATATGCTGCACTATGCTGTACTATACAATGATCCCATACTATACTATACTATACTATACTATACTATACTATACTATACTATACTATACTGTGCTATATTCTAATAATCAGGAACCTCGTCTGTAGGTCCGATATCTGGGATTCCCAGAAACCTTGCGGAACCCTTGAGGACATGGCTGCGGCCTGCAAAGCAAACCCCTAAACCCCTAAACCCCGAAACTCCAAAACCCCTAAACTCCAAAGCCCCTAAACCCTAAACCCAAACCCCAAAACCCCTAAACTCCAAAGCCCCTAAACCCCAAAACCCCAAAACCCCAAACCCCAAACCCTAAACCCTAAACTCCAAAGCCCCAAAACCCCTAAACCCCTATAAACCCTAAACCCCTAAACCCGTAAGGCGGAATCCGAAGCTCGGAAGGCGAGCACCTTCAAGAAGCAAGCCTGAAACTGGAAGTGGAGGAGGATACCAACGAGGGGGACGAGCCACCGGCCAAGCGATTCAAGGTCGCGCACTCTTCCACCGTTCTTGGGCTTTGGGTTTTGTTTTTTTTGGTGTTTTTTGGGGTTTGGGGGCCCTGGGGCTTTTGAGGTGTTGGTTCGGGGCTCAAATGTTATTTCCTTAGGAGCTGTTTCATGGGGTCTCACAAGGCTTTTATCGCGTTGTATATGTGGAGCTTGCAGCCTTATCGCTACGGGGCTATGCGGTTTTTAGGGATGCCAGGTTCGGGGTTGCCGGCTTGGGGACTAAGCCCAAGAGTTCAAGTTCGGTTCAGGGATCACGGTTCAGGGATCACGGTTTAGGGTTTAGGGTTTGGAGTTTAGGATTTAGGGTTTAGGGTTTGGGGTTTAGGGTTTGGGGTTTGGGGTTTAGGGTTTAGGGTTTAGGGTTTTCGCATGCTTGGCGGTTCTTACGTTGCTTACAGCCCGAAAGACTCCGCCGTTAGACCGGCAAGCTCAGCATCTACTACCAGAAAGACGTGTGCTGTGCGTCTGACCTTATTGGGGGGGCTGCTGAAAGCGAACAGAGGGTTGTCTTGTATCGTAGTGCGTGGACAAGAACGGAACATGAGTCTTTTAGGGTTTAGGGTTTAGGGGTTTAGAGTTTATCATAGTAGCCTTTGGAGTTCCTTGTCCGCCCTAACGCCGTAGCAAAACACCAGTCAACCCCACGAACATCAAACCTCGTAAGGGCCGACAAACACAACCGTGTAAAGCTTCTCAGACAAGCACCTGATACAATCTCACAAAACACCCACGCAAAAACCCGACAAAATCTCGCTATATAAATCCGTTTAGACCTTGAACCCTAAACCCCAACCCCTAAACCCGAACTCCTAGACCCTAAACCCTAAACACACACACCAACACCGTTCAGGAACCGCCTCAAGGTCCTCTCACCCTAAACCCTAAACCCTAAACCCTAAACCCTAAACCCTAAACCCCAACAGGTTGGCACGAAGAGCTTCAAGTACAAAGCCGGCCGTGTCTTCGGCCTCAGAGAGAGGAAACAATGATCTTGATTTTTTGTTGGGGGGAGGGGGGGGGGTT